CCCTCCTACAGGAACCAAGCTAATGGCCCCAAGCTTCAGAGTAGTCCATTGTCTCCAGCAGCAGGGAGCAGGCCCACCCCTGTGGTGGGATGAGACAGCAGTCTGGAAGCAAGGATCTGACTTCCCCCCACAATACCTCAGTACTAATTTGAGTCACTATTTTTATTATCTTTATTGTCAGTTTCCAAGTTTTGGCACCCAAAATTGGTATACATCATGGAGATCTGTACAAACATATATATACATATATATACACACACACAAGTTTAAAGCCTCTGCTTGCTCAGTAAACCCCGTGCTTAGGCTCCTGCAAAATGAGGTAAAATAGTGAGAACACAGACTAAATCTCAAGTGATAACTCTTGGGTAGGCACACATTTCAATGGCAAATCCATCACTTTGGTAAAACATCCACTAAGCTACAGCTTCAGCTTTTTGCAAGAAAAATAAACAAAAGCCCTCACAAACCTCAAGTGTGGCTTACTGACAAGCTAGCCAGGAGTTACATTTTGTTCTGCTTTTTTTTTTTCAGGTAAGTGTTTATTAAAGCACAGTTAAAAATTCTGTGATTAACATTATCAGGTGTTAATTAAAAACTCACTTCAAGCTGTGTCATCAATGAAGCACAATTTCTTAAGTATTTGCCTTTAAATCCATCACAGTAAAATCTGGGCTTTTAGTTTTAAAAAAACATTGAATGTTTGGTAATTGAAGGATGGATACCATTAGCGGATGCGCGGCCGTTTCATTTTATTCTTCTCTGTAGTAGCTTTCCTCTTTTGTTGTGATAACCCAGGCCCCGATTCCTTAATATTCTGGAGAAATGAAACCGCTTCCGGTAGACAGTAACATTCTGTCCGAGGAGGGGATTCCTATCAAAGGAAAGGAAAAAAAAAAAACAAAAAAACACAGCTCAGTATTTTTCGGATTCGTATTCAAAATGTTCTGACCAGATATACTTAGTGAAAAGGAAGATTCGTCTTCAGAAACTGGGTTCTTGCTAAGAAAACGTTTGCCTTTTTTTAAAATCGTTTTATTAGGGGCTCATACAACTCTTATCACAATCCATACGTACATCAATTGTGTCAAGCACATTTGTGCATTTGTTGCCCTATCATTCTCAAAACATTTGCTCTCCAATTAAGCCCCTGGCATCAGCTCCGCATATTTCCCCTCCCTCCACGTTTGCCTTTCAAAGTCTACCATTAGAGCCCCAGGGGACAAGGGTGCACAGTTGCGGTGGAGGACGTGAGCAGGGCCCTTAGTCAGCAGGCTAAGTAACATGAGCAGGGCTGCTATCTGTAGGGAGCAGAGTCACAGCTCACACCCTTCTCTCCACCTGACTCCCAAACCCTGGCCTTTTTCTCCCTCACAATTACATTCCAATAAAACAAAAGGATCTTTACCACCTTATTATAAAGACAATAAAACCTTTTTTGTTTTTGTTGTGGGGGGGCGGGGGCAGCTATACAGCAGACTGGATAACCTGAAAATGAACTATCACTAAGTACTGAGTAAATGCCTTTTTACCCTTCCACAGATAACAACTAAATATTCTGACCAAAAGACATTAGAAAGTAATTACTGTGAGACATTGAGCATGAAAGGAATCAGGCAACTATATTCCCTCCTTTTTAATGACTGAGAACACACCAGCTAAAACTCTAGTTAGAAACCTGCAGTCTCAATGACTCACAGAACCAGAGAATAGAGTCCAAGGCAGCTATGGCCACTGGAAAAGTGAGGTGGGAAATCCCAGAAATGAGAAAAAAGAGTTAAGAACCCTAGAGTTTGTATATGAACTCAGGCCCAACCTAGGCTCAATTCCTAAATCACACATGTACAGAGGAGACTCAAGACGAATGAAATGAAATTCGAGCTGTTGCCCCTGCAGCAGGTCACCCCGCAAAACAGTACAGACACCAAGTGGCACAGGATATTCTCCAGAAGAACCTAACAGAATCTGGAGTTCCTATAACTTCTCATCCATCCCGTCCAGGGTACACCCCCAAATCGCTCCACATTGTAAGAAGCAAAACATGCCACAGGCTCAAGAAGATATCATTAGGAACATAACATTCAGTAACAAAATATATTAGGCTCTCGATCCTGAAAATAACAACAGCTGACCAAAACCAAACCAAACCGGTATTTATCATCATCAAACATTTACAAAAATGGCATGCTGTGTTCATAGATTGAAGACAACACTGTAAAGAAACCAATGCACCCAAACTGATCTGTGGGCTTAATGCAATTCCTATCAAAATCACGATCTTTTAAAGAAAAACTACAGATCTTACACCCACTGCAAAAGTCATATAACTACAGGAACCATGATAGTATGGGAGAAGAGTATATTTAGATTAATGGAAAAAAGAGCCCATGCTTCCTCCCCATCATGCCAATTCTACCTTACAAATCTGGCTAGACCAGAGCATGTACACTGGTACAGATAGGAACTGGAAACACAGGGACTCCAGGGCAGATGAGCCCTACAGGACCAGTGGTGAGTGGCGATACTGGGAGGGTGGGTATGGAAAAAGAGGGAACAGATTACAAGGATCTACATGTGACCTCCTCCCTGGGGGACAAACAAGAGAAAAGTAGGTGAAGGGAGACATCGGACAGTGCAAGATATGACAAAATAATAATGATTTATAAATTATCATGGGTTCATGAGGGGAGGAGTGGGGAGGGAGAGGAAAAACGAGGACCTGATGCCGGGGGCTTAAGTGGAGAGCAAATGTTTTGAGAATGATGAGGGCAGTGAATGTACAAATGTGCTTTACACAATTGATGTGTGTATGGATTGTTGTAAGAGTTGTATGAGCCACTAATAAAATAAGAAACCCGACGACGACAACAACAAAAAAGCCAAAGAATATGTTCTACAATTGAATATGGTGACAATCATACAACTCTTCTTGATATGATTGAATTGTATGACATGTGGATGAAATGCTAATAAAACTTAAAAAAAATAAAGGTATTGCCAGAATGCTCCTTAGAGGCAAGGATGGTGAGACTTCATCTCTTGGACTTGGACACGTTATTAAGAGAGACCAGTCCCTGGAGAAGAACGTCATGCTTGGTACAGCAGAGGGGCAGCGAGAAGGAGAACGCCCCTGGACAAGCTGGACTGACACCGTGGCTGTGTGGATCCGCTCAGGCAGAGAAACCAATGGCTCAGGTTTTGTTCCACTGTCAGAACCACTCGGCAGCAGCTAACAACCACCACCTTATTTACTAACAAGGTGGGGTTCCAAGCCAGGTGATGTATCCATTAGGCAAGGAAGAGCAGCAGAGTTGCCCAGGCCCTTGACTTCTGGGGCCAGAGGCTCAGTCTGCCTTCACTCAGTTCCTCCTTCAAAGCCTACGATGCAGTTAGTGTTCAAAAAAACAGCTGCTGGAGTAGTGGCTTAATGGGCGGATTTGCTTCTCTCCTTCTCCGCTAACTGATCCTCACATGGAACCAAAGAAGTGTGTTTCATTAGTTTGGGTGTTTACCAAACGGAATACCTCTCTCTGTTCATGATTTCACTGAAAATTATTAGGACATTTTTTCCCCTTAAGAAAATTAAAGAAATCTGCTCTTGAAAAAAAAAGAAAGAAACTTATGTGAACAGTTATATATTTTTAAAAATGGTAACGAATAGTGGTGGTGGAAACACTTTTTATAATAAAATGAAATTAAAGCCAACAAATTATACGAGGGGGCTTCAAAACTAAGTTTATTTCTTTTTGGCGAGACGGACTTCAAGAGTTAGTATTCTGGACTTCCCCATTCCATAAGTCTTGCTTGATGTTGATGTAAGTTTAGTGGGTTTCAGATTTATCATCAAGTACTTTTTAAAGAAAGACATAATGGCAAATGTGTGTCAAGATATCGTTATACTCTTGATCTCTCATCTTTTTGATTCATAACACTGGCTCTTATTTTGATGAGGAGCCATATACCTGCCCACCCACTGCCATCAAGTCAATTCCAATTCAGTTACCCTACAGGGTAGAGGAGAGAGCTTCATTTTTCTCCTGTGGAGCTTCTCATGGATCCGAACTGCTGACCTTGCTATTAGCAACCCAACCTGTAAACCACTGTGCCACCAGCCTCCTGCAATGATCTAGAATTCTTGGACAAGATCATGGACTGAGCCCTGCTGACATCTGGTGGCATTTCAAGTGCTCTGGTGTCAGCGACGGGGAAATCACATGCCATCAGCCAATTCCAAACTTGAGCATAAGGAGCAAATGCTTCATTCACCAAGGCTTCCAACACAGGTATTTACTGCCCATCAATGCAAGGGTAAGAAAACTCACAGAGAACTGAATACATATTTCTCTGAAAGCTTAAGGAATACATTTCGGCCTTTTTAATATTTCAAAACTTCAAAGGGTTCTATCAAGGCTTTTAATGATACCTACCCTAGATTTGTGCACTCTACTCACATTTTCATATCCAGCGAACTCAGGTGCTGACTATTACAGAAAGAAAGAAACTGGAAGTAGGTTGACGAAGAGTAAGACGAGGTTAACATTCTATTAGCAGTAAGCCAAGGATGTGGACGTACCCTAGTTCTCTGCACACAAAAACCCGCCAGAAAGAGGCAGCCCAGGCCCAACCCCACAAACCTCCATGAGATAGTCAGCAATGTACTCTGTTCTCAAGCAGTACACATTCTGGGCAGCGGCTTCTGCTAGGTTAACTCCCAAGTCTTCTGGCTTTTGTTTATTCCAGTCAGAGAAGAGATGCGTGGCCTCTTGAAACAATGGCACAGGATGACCAGGTAATACCTAATAAACAGCAGCAGCAGCATCACAATCTACCAGTGTCCCAAATTAGATCAATTTGTCTCAGATATATTTATGGATTACCATCACACAAAGTACAGGAAATCAAGATCTCATCACAGAAGACTTGGCTCGACAATCAGTCGTATGAACAGTTCAGTAAACAGATTCAATGCAAACCTTTGCTCCTCCTGACTGCAGAAGACGTTTGAATCCTGCTTCTCGGGACTGATCAACATGCAAAATAACCTTCCATCCACTAAAAGCTCCCTACAAATAAAAATAGGTAGTGAAATCACTTGGACATGAAATGACAAATAATAGAGACAATGCATTCTTCAATCTGCAGTTTAGATTCTGTCAATGAATAGCCCTTTCCTCAGTGGGCCGTAACTACCTCTGGTCAGAGCCACAGTTCTGGCACAGTCAATGAATATGTTTGGAATGAAGGATAATTTAATGGTCAGGTCATAATGAAACAAAATAACTTGACCTACGTTTAAGTTTTTTATGATGTTCTCCCCCACCCCGTGCTTATAATTGATAATACATCATAGTTTATTAATTAGATGGATTAAATGAAGTCTCCATCTTTTTCTCTTGAGAACCTTTGAACGCCTAATATAAACTCTAAAGGACAGAGAATCAAAGCAAGCAACGATCTAGAGCTATCAGAATACAATGTGGAGGGTTATCTAGCTCTGGGGTCGCTAATCTTTCTGTTTGCCATACCCTTTTTACTTAGTGAGAACGCAATAGCCAACCAAACCATTCACATAGCCTCTAAATTCTTATTAATGCACAAAAAAGAAGCTACTTTACTGAAAGTTACTGAAATATACATAAAACAGCATTTGTGATGTGATAGATATGTTTCTAAATTAAGGCTTTAAAAATCACACGACCTAGTGACAGGTCTAACAAAAACGCTGACAATTTTGAACTAGTGATGAACATATTCAGTATTTTAAGATACCCTGATCTACAAGTCTGTTACTGATGAGTCAATTATGATTCCAGTGGCCGTATAAGACGGAATGGCGCTACCACAGAAACAGACTAGCCACCACAGCGTTCTCCTATGGAGCAGCTGGTGGGTTTGAAGAACCACCCTTTGGATTAGCAACCAAGCATTTAACCAAGGCATCAACAGAATTCCTTTACAACTGTAACATGACAGGAAAATATGTGATTTACGGTGGGAAATTCAGAGGCACTGTTAATAATGCTGTGATTTGTTGCCTAGACTTATTAGATTCATACACTACTCTATAGAACCTAGTAGACTCCAGCCAGGTCATGAAACCCTGAAGCTACATTCTGTAAAGATCCTTTCTTTTTAAGAACAACACAGTGGGTTTCATTTTACATAAATTACATTTCAAAAAGACCACTAGTATTAAATGTTATTGTTAATCATAACTTGAACAGTGAAGAAATTAACATTAAGTTCAATTACAAATACCCAAACTAAGTAAAAATCCACCAAGATAAAAAGACAGGTAGAATTATTATTGGGTCATGTTTATTAAAAAAAAAAAAATTCTTAAGTGCAATAGCTATATATCTTGGCTGTCATTTATATTCCCTATGAATTACACATTTTCCAGGTGTTAATACCTCAACAATGCCCGCTTCTTGTCTTTGCTGGATTGCTCTCCTCCATCTCATTGCTGCAAGTGCCAGTTTCCGCTGCTGTCCATTGATAGCAGGGAGCGCATCAAGAATGGAGCTACTGCCCCATTCATAATCTTCTTCCTAGAGGCAAGTCCAACAAACTGTAAGCGCCTGCAATATGGAGCCAATGAGCTTCACGGGGCTCCCAATCTATTAGAATGATCAGCTGGCCCCTGATCCAGAGGGTGCCACAAAGTTTACGTGCATGGTGGACATGCAAATGTGGCTACACAAAAGTCTCAAGAATGCCTGGCTTAAGTAGAATTCAAAAAAACATTCCACAACCTTCAAGAACCTACTGATAATTATGTTAGAATGTCTTAATGTGAATAGAGCAGTGGTTCTCCAACTTCCTAATGCCGCAACCCTTTAATACAGTTCCTCATGTTGTGGTGACCCCCCCCAACCATAAAACTGTTTTCGTTGCTACTTCTCAACGGTCATTTTGCTACTGTTATGAATCGGGCAACTCCTGTGAAAGACCCACAGCTTGAGAACCGCTGAAATAGAGAATGTTACAAAATGAAACATGGCCACATTCAAATGAAGTAGTTGGCCCTTGGACAATTTGCAGGGTTAGGGCTCTTGACCTGATACAGCAGAGTATCTACATGTAACTTATTATTATTTTTCCATATAACTTTTGACTCCCTCCAAATGTAACTAATAGCCTACTGGTTGTTGGGAACTTCATTGACAACATAAACAGCTGAGTCATACCTAATTTGTGCCTCACACATACTGTATTCTTACAATAAAGAACCCGAATACATTCCCATGTACATTCGAGTTCATGGTGACCTCTCAAGACAGAGAACTGCTCCTAGAGTTTCCGAGATAGTAAATCCTGACGGGAGCAGCCCTTTCATCTTTCTCCTTAAGTGGCTAGTGGGTTTGAACCACCAACCTGTGGTTAGCAGCTCAATGTCTAACCCCCTAGACTACCACTGTAGTACTGTGCTGTATTTTTAGACACTGCAAGTTCACGCCTTTTTAAAATAAAACGAATTGTCTTTATGCTGAGGTGACTGAAAAGGAAAAGGAAGAGTTGGCAGAAGAAGTCAGCATACTTGGTATAACTTTATAAAAGTACATCATAATTTCTGCCTTTTCATTTCTTTATAAATGTTTGGGTGCAGCACTATTCCGTCTTCTACCAGGCTGCATGTTCACAAAACAGCAGCTGGCCTTCCGCTTCCTACCATAAATGCTGGTGCTTACTTCTTTCCTTACTAATAAACGTTTAGTGGCGTTTACTTTCCTGAATACGTTACTTCCTTGTAGAGTAAAACCTCTTCAGCTGAATACCTTTCCTCCACACTAATTTTCTTAATGGCATCTGAGACCTTGTCTGCTGTCCCAGTTGGTGGAAGTTGCTGCTTCTGTTTTCTTGACATTTTTAATGCCAAACCTTTCTCAAATGATGAAACCTTTCTTTGCTAACTGAATTCTCCAGCTTTAGAGCATCACCTTCCGTGTGCTGTCAGCTGCCATAGTGTCTTTGCTTTCTTAAGAATAGTATTAATCTATGGGTAAGCAGCATTTTCAATATATGAAGGCATTCGACAAGAAGTGCAAGGTTTTTGTGCCTACTGGCACAGATGCAGAGAGCTTCACAAACGTTTTTGTTTTCTCACAAGAATCTTTATGTTGGCTTTATTGAAGCGGTTGGCAATTACAGCTGCAGACCTTAGGCTATGGTACACAGCAAGCAATTCAAGGTTTCATATGTCATGATTTTCTCTGCTTCTTGGGAGTATGTATGGAAGTTCCATTACCTGTGGAACTTCCTCTGGCCCGCCTGGTGCCACTCAAGGTGTACTGTATTGCAGCGCACACAGGATGAGCATAGAGGGGTGAAAGTGGTAAATCACTTCTTACTGCAGCAAACCAGTTTCTGGGGAGGCAAAGTGCTTGTGCCGAGATGATCAGTCATCTGGTATCTGCTCTAAGCGATGCTCACCGCACTGGAGCAGCAGGAGGTGGCTATGGCAATCGGCCAGTTGGACAGTTGACTTTCTACGTTAGGTTTTAACACTGCTCTGTTTCACTTTTCCTTCAACTGTCAATGGCACCAAGCCCCTAAGTGTAAGTTTGGAGAAATTCTTTTTATAGATTCGTCTACATTTATGGTAGTAAATGGTAAAGACTAGTATCTACATATTATTCATTCATGACATACCTAACATAGTCTTAAATTGGTTGCATATTTCTAGGCTACCTGGGTCATCTTTGAGTTTGTCTAAATCGTCCAAGTCTCCAAAGTTTCCCCCCCAATATATTCACTGAAACAAACCTACATAAGTGGACTCATGCAATTCAAACCTGTGTTGTTCAAGTGTCAACTGGAATTCAAAAGGTGAACAAAAGTGGCAACCAGGAATCTAGTTCTATGATCTCTAAAACGTGTGTTTTAAGGGGAGACTTCCAATAACGGGTAGATTTTAATTGCCCGATTACATGACCATCTATGTGTGTACTGGACTAGAGGCAGCAGCTCCAGATCTACCCATAATGCCATTTCCCACCCTCGCCCATACACACCGGCATGAAGCGTCCAGCAGCCCTGCAGGCTTCAAGATACGAGCGGTGAAGCACCCACTTGCCAGCTGCCACTGAGGCCAAATACTTCTCATTTCGAAGTGGGTGTCCGACAACAATGTGCGTACAGTTAGGATCAAAGCACTGCTTTTCCAACACTAAGCCACCTGAAGGAGAGGAAAAATGGGCTATCTTTGGTCTCAGCTTTTCCTTAGGGCAAATGGAATCGCCAACACACCGAGAAATTAGGATAAATACAAGGCATTAAAACTATCGAAACCAAAAACCTTACTATTGTTTTAATTTACTTATGTACTTTTATAAAATGATGTCTATTATCCAAGTTTCAGATATGAAAGATGGTAAAAAGGTACAGTGAACTCCCACACACTGGTTACTTACAGTTTACAATGATCAGAAATCTGCTAACTGTATTCTAATTTTTTTTGTGCTTATTAGAAAATAAATTCCAGATAATCATGTCACATCACCCTTCTATGTAATTCAGTAGGCATTTCTAAAATATATGAAGATTCTTACACCACCACAATCCCCCTGAGCTAATATAATTTGCAAAAATTCTTAGCTATCTAAAGACTAAATTCTCGTTCAAGATTATCGTTTGCCTCAAATTTGCCTGCAATCTGTTCTATCAAGATACAAAAGGAATCAGGATACAAAAAATGCCTACACACTGCTGTGGACTGTTACGACTCTTAAGCCAGCACAAGGACTTCTGAGGTTTTTAATGCTAAGGAAGTCAAAAGGCGTCATGTGAGCAGACAGGAGGTCAGTAGACCAGCCCAGCAGTGCAGGCAAATATACAGACTATACAACTAAGAGGGTGAAACAGAGGGAGGAGGAAGCAACAGCTGCACGCTCTTTTCAGGCACATGTGCAGACGTCTGGCTTCGAGAAGCGATGAACGTGTAAGTAAACACAAGCTTATGTAAACAAAGCATGGCTACTGATCTGTAGTTTAGGACTCCGCTAGTGGTTAGGCAGTTGCATCTAGGACTTTCTAAGACTACTGCAGAACATTCAAACTCCATTCTTACAGCAGCAATGTTAATAATCATAGTAATAGCAGCAGCCCTTACTGAGTATTTGTTATGTGCCAGTAAGCACCTCAGATTAATTTATTTAATCCTCTCAACCCCAGAGTACACAGGCTACCAGGACCATCTGTAAACGAGTCCAGGAGGAAAGAGATGCAGAAAGCATGATAAAGTCAAATCCCACATTCATCACTTTTAATATCCATTTTTCTGTAACCAACGTATCCTGTGACTCAGAAAACATGATTGACTGATTTATTTAGGAAGCTGTAGTCCAGAGTTGCTTCACTTATGAAATGAAGGGTTGGACACAATACCTGTTACAATGTCTCACTACATTCCAACAAGACCTCCCCTGCCACCCTCCCAATTCCAGCACAGTCTAAACTCGTTGCCTCTGCTTCTGGTTCTCTTCTAGATCAATTCTCTCCCACCTGCTACTAGTTCTGTCCACATCTGGCAGAGACAAGACAGGAAACAAGCACTCGAAGTGCTTCGTTTTGGAGACCTGTGGACAAAACCCAGCCATTCTGATTCATAACCCCATCTAATTCCCTGGGCCACGGAGAAGCAAAGTATCTCCAATGAACAATTTCCAAGAAACATTGCTTCTCTAGTGCTCCACTGAATTGGACAGAAATCTTTACATAAAACATATCATAGTTCTGCACATCTTTAAAAGGATACTAGTAAGCTTCAGTCTTTTTTTTTTTTTGGTGATTCAGGACCACTACTACAAGCAGCTATAAATTCTTGTTTACTCTTTTGATGGCAAGCTTTAAAAGTTCTCTTGCTATAATTTTGCTAATTCTAATAAGCTCCAACGCCTGATACAGGAAGAGCCAATAGTCACACATGGTTATCACACACCTGAAGTGTGGCCATTCCAAATTGAGATGGGCTGTAAATGTGCACTATACACAGTGTTTCAAAGACTTGGTAGGAAAGAAAATGGGGAAAAAGTTAAGGTTTTACAGAGTAAAGAATATTTCAAATATAATGAGTTGGATAAAATAAATGTTCAAAATTAATTTTACCAGCCCCTTTACACTCTTACAGATGTACTGTTACTCGGCGTAAGGTGTTACTTCCAGCATCAGTCTGTAATTTTACTGATTTTTGTCCAAAGTTTCATCAGTGTACAAATGTTCAAGATGGCATAGCTGATTCTACAGCCTTACTTAATGGTTTCAATTTAACTCTTCATCTCATGACCCAGCAACTATATAAAATCAAGCTCAAAATCTGACCCATTATAATCTTAACCAGACTATCTATTATCCTATCGTAATGTCTACATCAACAAAATATACTAGATGGGGCACTCCTAAGTAAAATAATAGTACCTAGTTTTTCAATGAGATGACAATAATCAATACGTTCTTGAGGATTCAGCGATGACAATTGAAATATGTACTGTTTTTTTAAGTCTTCATGAGTCTCCTCAAGTATTACAATCTGGAATGGAAAGGTTTTATTTTAGAGAAAATGAAAAGTCATCAAGTTCCTTTACACATCTTATGAGCTATCAAATGTAGGAACTACTACTATAAGAAATGTCAGTCAACATCTGCTGAATCATTTGACAACAGTTAGCAGCCACAGCAGTGACTATCTCAAATCCCTATCATCGCACTGATGACAGACCAACCTTTTCTCTCGGGTGGGGAGCCACAGGCGGGTTGGCTAAGGGGAAGGCGATACTGGGGGCTTGTGGTGTAGGGATCAGGTGGTTGTCTTTGGTTGGAGCTTCCAGGTCTTCAGAGATCATGGGGTGTTTGGGGACTTCGGTCACAGATCTGTTTCCAGGATCACAGATAGCTGAGGGCAATAAAATGCTACAGTGTGATATTATCCAAATATGTCTAAGAACAAATTCTGGAAAATATTCTTACCTGTCTCAGCCAAGATGGACTTAAACCCCAGACATGAAAGAAACAGTCTAACACCAGACAAGGGGTTAATCTCTGAAATGGACAGAAAACTTCAACACTTTAACAACAACAAAGGAGGGTAGGGGGAGCCACAGGCTGGAGGGTATACGGGTGTGAACCTGGATGAAAGGGAGAATAGGAGGGCATGGGGAGGAAACAGGACAAGTTACTGGGAGGTTTGATACATTGTCAAATGCCAAAATGCTAATTTGATATGTAAATCCCCTCCTAATGGACAGTAAAGAGTCTGGAAAAAAGTACTCTACTTGTAAAAATTATAAATAAATGAAATCAATTAGTTGTAGAACAGCAAATGGCATTACCTGTGGGCTTCTTTTTGAAGATACCCAAATGTGTAAGATGAAACCTCCTCTATGCTTTAAGAATATCACTAGTAGAGGAAAATATGGTAGGGAAATGAAGAAAAAGAGGAGAAGTTTACCAAAGATGAGCAAAAGGAAGAATTTTGCAATTAACGGGTTTTTTGGGGGAGTGGGGGTGGGGGAGGGAGTTGTGCCTCAGAAAATCTGAAGAACAAATGTGCGTCCTGGGCTGTACTTCGGGGAAAAGGAAGACTGGGACAAAGGCACGCATACCTGCACAAATGCCAGAATGAACCAAAGTTGTACCACCAGAGCGAGTTCTCTCTGGGAAAAATGGCTAATCCTAAATTTTAGTCAAAACATAGTGTTCACTTTAACTTAAATCCTTCAATTCATAAGTAATTTTTTCTGATTTTCTCTTTTTTGGTTAATACTGATCTTTTATTATTCCCTCGAAGTCTATTAGTGTCCAAGAAATTATGTCTAAGGCCCACATGAAGGAGAATGGCACCGAGGAGGCAAGAAAACTTGATGCAGGTTTCAGAGGAACGTAGGCTGATGGAACTTGCTCATAAAAATGCGTTGCATTTGTAGCACCTCTAGTATCGACGCACTTCCAGATCCGTTTATTTGGCTTAGTATTACCTATGTTTTAAAGGCTCATATCAGATTCAATTTAGGTGTTTTTAAAAAATACATTCAGAAAGTAAACAAATACAGAATGGAAAATACTGAAGGCTTAATTAAAAGTATGCTCAACACTGCTAATTAAATCCCCCAACAGAAAGAGTCCAGTTCACTCCACCCCAAATTCTATGAGGAAAAAGAGAAAGAAAAGGCTTGGTTGGAAGTGTGATAAAGATGCACGTGGCCTTGACTAAACCACACACTGACCAGCCTAGCGTGGAGAATAAACCACACAGACATGTGCACAGAACAGCTAGGAAGTAGCTACTCTACTTACGTCTTCAGGTATGCATCTCTACCCCACGGAGTTATGAATACAACTCAATTTTTAAAACTGAAACTTGGTGTTTCCCACCATTCTCCATTTTCTAGGGTCTATCCTTTTTGGCTGGATGATGTAAACAAAAAGCAAAAACAGCACACATGCACGCGTGTGCGCAAACATGCACACACACTCACATTCCCTCCTAAAATGTGGAAAAACATTAATAATGCTGGCATTAGAAATCACTTCAGGGGACTGAACATGATAGTGGGACAGGAGGAAAGTCAAGGGAAATAGAGGAAAGAGCTGGGAGGCAAAGGGCATTTATAGAGGTCTAGATA